GGGAGGAAGGACGAGCTCCTGAGGGTAAGAATTTGCTAATTTTACAGATAAATATGCAAGTCTCAATCATTTTTGTGAAGGATTGGGGATAAAATTTATCCGGGTTGGTGCTGATCCAGTTTTGAACAACCGGCCTCAGGTGTCTGTACATTTTTGTGTAACAAAAAGCTTTTTGCTGAACGCAAGATGAGCGCGAATTTTTATTTATTGCGCATTATAATAAACATTACATGCGCCAATTGTGAATAATTTTCTTATCCAGGGTCCTTGGTCCTTGCAACCAACTATCCGCAGGAGAGTGCTTACGAGAGGAGATTCGAAAATCTTTTAAATAACCACTTGATGGTTAAATGAGTGACCTATCTTGTACAGTAGCTAGTCCCATAATAATAATCTTTTTTGTTGCAGGTATAGAATCCAAACCAGGAAAATGCCCTCCTGTAACTGGAACGTTATGTCCTCAACAACAGAACGATGGTTGCTTTGCTGACTTTGAATGTCCAGGGAATCAAAAATGTTGTGATAATCGTTGTGGTTATACAGCTTGTATGGATCCAGTATCTGGTGAGAATATTTCGATACATTGTACTTTTATCATTTATAGACCAGGAGCGAGGAGGATTCGGCGAAATATTACCCGAAGTGATGATTTTTCCCGAGGGGCTTTATCCCCCAAGGGTCTATAAATGATTTATTATATGGCAAGCATTTGTTTTCATGAATCGCGTAATTTGATTGGCTGCTGACGAGGCAGGATTTTCCTGTATTGCCCACCGGCAATACGCAATTTTTATTGCCCTGCGACACAGAATAAGGTACACAGAAGGTCGACTCGAGTAACCGCTGCCACGCCATGATTCATCATCAAAATGCTGACGCCATGGTCCTAGCCAGTGCGCGTTTGAGAGGCATTCCCCTCCCCCCTGGACACCCGCCATTTGGAATATTATCAGGGGGGTAAATGCTTCTCAAACGCGCACTGGCTAGGACCATGGCGTCAGCATTTGATGACGAGTTACGGGTTACGCCAAAATCATAAGGAAAATCATAGGAAAAACGAAGAAGTCGGCCTTCTGTGTACCTTTTTTTCTGTGTCTGCGACAAGAGCCGAGTTTCAAACGGCAAAAAGTGTCTAAAAGTCTTTCAACCCATTCAAAAAGAAGAAAAATAAACCTAAATAAAGAAAAGGAGCAACTGCTGTTGTTCAAGAACTTTCTCCAAACGTTTTTGTTAGCGAACGTTGAAATTTCAAGGTAAATTTTACAATGTTTATAACTATTAAAACAGTCAGGAATAGTTGTGTTTTGACTATGTGAAGATTTGCAGATATAGCCAGGAGGAATTTGACACCATCCTAAATAAAAAATACAACTAAAGCAGCCACAGATTTATAACATTTCCCTGAAAAAGAGACATAAATATGAGATAAAGCGAACTAAAAACGTACTTGTCCATACTGTTTATTAATTTTATTGTTTTCATATTTGTTGTCTTTAATTAAATGACGAAATCATGACCTCCTATTTTTCTTGAAATACTATCCAAACTGTGTTAGGGACCGGTCATTATTTATGGCGGGGGGTGGCACCGAAGAGAAATGTTTCCCGTGTCAAAAATTTTGCTGACCCAACCATTAAAAAGACAAAAATTTGATTACCCAACCTGAAATATCAATTAAAAAATAACTACCCACCCCTGGCCAAAAACTTAACAAAAGGATACCATTCAGTTGTCATACATGTCCTTTATCACTTCAGTGACATGAGTTTGATAACGGCTTGTGAAATTTTCTGCAGTCTAAAGTTTCATGTTGTCTGCACATGTACTTTCCTTGGAAACACAATTTGTTTTGTCAAACTATGATCAAGATAGTGACTCTGATTGACTCACATATTGTATTGACAAATGACTGTTGACAATGCTTTCCAGTCTCCAATATTTCAGTGGGTCATGCTTTGGAAATGACAATAAATTTTTATTACCCAACCCTTGAGTTGTTTTGTTTTTCATTTACCCAACCTTTTACTTACTCAAAATTTTGTTTACCCAACCTTTTTCTCTTCGGTGCCACCCCCCGCCATAAATAATGACCGGTCCCTTAGTAGTCTATATAAAAGTGCTGTAGAGTAGTTTTACTGACCAAGAGAACATTTTTTACAATTGTTTTTTTGTGCAAATGTTCCGGACTTTGTACTTTGCTCTCGCGTGACCTTTTTTCCCATTTTTTTTACAAATGTAAAATGCCATATAATAAAAAACTTACTTACCTCGGTCTTGCTGTATTGACCTCGCTATCGCTCGGTCAATACAGCAAGACCTCGGTTGGATATTTTCCCGTACTGCCCTCACTCTCGGTCAGTAAGTTATTAATATTATACTGAATATTAAAAGCCTCCAAGTTGAGAATATACTAAAACTTGCCACATACCTTCGTCGGTGAATAGGATGTTTTATTTTTTTATTAATGTGATATGGTTCAAGTCACCCGCTTACGTCAAATACGATGACGTAAGGCGTGATTCGATGATAAATATCATACTCACGTGGCACAAACTTAGCTTTCTGATTGGACACTTTAATTTAATATAACATTTATCAGTTATAGACCTGGAGCGAGGGGGATTTTGCGAAGTATTACCCGAAGGAAATATCATCACTGAGTACCGCCAGCGGAGGTTCCGTAAATGATATACCGAAAATTAAAAGCGTCCAAGTTGAGAAAATAAAACTTGCCACATGCCTTCCTAACCATCGTGAATATGATGTTTTGGTATTTGTCACTTTTCTTTTAAATCACGTATCGTTTGGAATATTGAAGATAACATTTTCAAAATTTGCTTCAAAATTTTAAAAACGAGCTTTTATGAAGTTTAAAACTTAATTTTGCGTGATTGCCGCGCGTGGTTTACGCGAATCGTATATTCATATCACCCGGATGATCTGATCAAGTCATCCCGTGTGATATGATTGAAATCACCCGCTACGTCAAATACGTAAGGCGTGATTCGATACTAATAAATTCCATGCTCATGATCACGTGGCACAAACTTAGCTTTCTAATTGGACACTTTGAATTTGGGGTATGATATACGAACTTCTCATTACTGACAACAAAATTTGTTTCATTTTTTGCAGAGGTTTCGTGTAACATTGCAGTAGATCTAGGTTTTCTGCTTGATGCATCAACATCAATAACGCCGTTAAACTTCAACAGAATGAAAACATTTATAAAAGATCTAGTCAACGAGTTTGACGTTCGAGAAGGCGGAACACACGTGGCAGCGATTGCATTTGGAGACAGAGCTAGAATGATGTTTGATTTTAATGGGTTGCAAGGAAGTAATCTGACGAAAGAAAATCTGACCACGAAAATTGATGAAATTCCACAAATATCTGGTTCAAATAGACTGGATCTGGCATTGACAATGGCTAAAGATGATATGTTTTCATTTACTGGTGGCAAACGAGATAAGACTCCCAGAGTAATTTAATTAATAAGAGTTTTTATTAAAATATATCAGTCCAAGTTCATCCACTACGATAAGCAATAACGTTTCCCACCAAATTGAGAAATAAAGTATGATTGCAGAAGCAATGTTTTCATGTTTGTCCATTTTCGCTAAACGTGGCTTGGAGACAACGCTTCCGCAACAATATTTGCGCTGTGTCAAATTCAAAACAAATATTTTTTGTGTTTGTTTTTTTATTGCGGAAGTTTTGTTTTCAACTGAGTTGGTTGTTTTACTGCTCTTTGTGTTGTTCCCTAGCAACGTACTTCCTCGTACAGACGATCAAGTTTTCCTTGACAACTTTCTTGACGAGTTTATTCGCTGTGTACGACGAATGAGTTCTTTCTCTGACACGTTTTACGCGCCCGCGCTATTTAAGTACGTCAAAAATTTCATGTTAATTTTCGTTTCAATAAAATTGAAAACGACCGAAACTGTCTGCTATATCACATTCAAAAATAAACGACATTTAATGACGCTGGTCGCTCGAAGCTGAGTGACGCACTGAGCAATGACCTTTTAGGTTTCCTTGACAACCCTGCATGACTAGCTTTTGAGCTCCTTGTCAAGGAAACATTTGTCGTATTTGTTGAAGGAAAACTGACGCATCTCTACCGAACTTTCTTTTTTCATATTTGTTTAATATCTAGTTCCTTGTGATTGTAACGGACGGAATTGGAGATGTATGGAGTCAAAACCTGGCTAAGTTACGAGAACTTGCAAAGACTTTAAAAGATGGTCGGGTTGAACTTCTCGTTGTTGCAATTGGCGATGACGTCAGAGTTGAAGAGTTCAAAAGAATTTCATCTGGAGAAAAGACTGTGTACAATCCAAAACTGTTTAGTGATCTAAGAACTTTATACAAAGAAGTTGCTGTTCGTTCATGTAAAGGCAAGTTCTAGTATTAGTTAGTCCGTACTGTAGAAAAAGTTGTACCAACACAGTCGTATAAAATGGTAGTTAACTACAGTTAGCCGCGAAAATTAACCAATCAAAATCGTGTATTTTAGAGTTAACTACTATTTAACTAGAAATTAGTGGTTGAAAAAGTAGTTAAAAGTTTTATACAACCGGTCCCAGAGGTTATATGGATAGGCATACAAAATAATGGGCTAATTACTGCACGCCGATGCTCACCAAACCTTGTCCTGAAAGGTCTTCCAGTTTCTCCAATATAAAGCATGCCATATTTACTGCATGAGATGGGACGAGGTGCACCGCTAGTAACTCCAGACGAAGGCCCAAGACGAAGGAATTTTTATTCTTTGTATTGCAAATAATAGGTAACGAACAAACAACACTTTAATTTATTTATTTATCAGGGCATTTTTTAACTATATAACTGGGGGGGCCAAAGCCCCCCCAGCCCCCATGGTGCCCCCCCCCACTCAACCATTTTGCCCCCCCCCCAGTCAAAGTCCCTTTTCTCTAAAATATAAGCAAAACATGGAATTTAGAAGGGAGGCTTGATATTCTAGTAACTGAAATTTGCTTTGTGAATCTTATGTCCTGTCTTTTATGTTTAATAAATACCTTATTAGATTTTAAACATTTCCCAGGCAGTGGATTGCATTTCCCAGACCCTATAGATTTGAGTTGTTGGACAAGTTAGTGACCGCAGGGGGCAACAGGCCCTCAACCAAGTGTTTTATAAGGGGGGGGATAATTTTGGCCCCACCAAAAAAAACCAATTTGATTTCGAAACTAGAAGTATTTGAAATCATATATACATATAATCAAATATCTGTAATCGATATTTTGATAACATTTCTCGTAATAATCCATCCTGACTCGCGGATATCATAGACTCACAAATCATAATGAACGAATTAATGAAAGGGCCAAACAAAAGACGTATAGAAGACTTTGAAAATGCCATTTCCGATGATTTAGAGACGCAAAATTTTCCGCTCTGTGCCAACCATGGTGGCGCTTCGTGGGAGTCGGGAACTCTAAGTTTATCAAGCTGGCTCCCTAAGTGACGGCCAAGTTGTGGTATCTACATAAACATACTATGCAAGTACTTAACTGAAGGTTCAGTCTATCTACAGCATAATGTAATGCTGTATATCCAAAAATCTGTTTCAGAAAATGCAGGGAATTGCAGTCATAGGGGTAGAAAAATACAAAAATTTTCTGGGGGAGAAAACCCCAGACCCTCTCCAGGGCCGTAGCAACTGCGCCTGGTGTGGGGGGGGGGGGCTGGGGGGCTGCAGCCCCCCAGTAATTTGCTAATAATCATTCATTTTTTAAAATCATGCAGACCTTTATTATTTAATCCATGACAAACTGCAAAGAATGAAGATATTACCCATACTTTCCTGCAACTTATCCAATATATCGTTAATTAAATACACCTTCGTCCATTTAGTACTACTGAATTCTAAATTTCCACATACTAAAAACGCTGTTTTCTGACAATCAGAAATCCACCAAATTTTCCCCAAAGTCCAGGAAATGGCATTTCAGAGACTCTAAATTTAAAAATTTCCTCGGGCCTTCGGCCCTCGCTTTCACCCCCTCACCCCCAAACGAAAAGAGCTTCCTACGGCCTGCTCTCCCCCCCTACTATTAAATGCGATACCACACCAAACTTTTTGTTACCAACAAACCATCTATCATTGCTCCACACTCGGTATAGTATGGTCCCTTTTTGTAGATGCCCCCCCCCCCCCACTGAT